AGAAGGGGGTAAAATGTAAGACACAAAATTCAATATGTCAACATATCTATTGTGCTTCTTCTATATTGATATTTACATTTGTTGTACTAGTGTATACATTGCATTATGAAATCGAAACTTGATAACTAATTGCAGATGCCCTAAATCCCTGCTGGATACTCTTGCATGATCCAACATTTGAGTTAACTTTTTTCACTCTTACTTGACCTTGTACTATAATTAGAGATGAGTTATATAGGACATGGAATTGCGTATAATTATATCGGACAACATAGGTTCTACATGTATTAATATGTAAACTTAGGGGTGTAAATGAATCCAATCAACACGAACATTCTAATGTTTAAATTTTTTTTAATTGTTTTTAATGAATTTGAAATTTTGTTCGAGCTTAGGTCGTTTATTTGCCAAACTGAATTTGAATGAGTTTTTATCAAATTTGAAAGTTGTCGAACATAAAAAGCTATTCAAAGTTGACCAGTTGACGAAACTCGAACAAATTCTTATCAAACCCTTTAAATTAATCGAAGGGGAAGAAAAGTCTAATTCTCATTTTCAAACGTCAAAAATTGGATATCGCGCTGACACGATGCATACACGCTGAGTTCTTTTGAAGTTTGGCCAAATTATCAATCAAACTTCAACATTTGGCCGGAAAATACAACTTCTCCGTCAAATTGTCAATTTGAAAGTTTAGAAGAAAATTTGCATAGATAAAAAAGCCATTAAAACCTTTCACCTTGACAATTTAATTTCTTTTAAGCCTTCCTTGCATATTGATGCCTTACTTATCCATGCATTTTAAAACTGAAATAACTCCCTTTCTACTGAGTATTTTTTCCTTTTTTTTTCCTTTCGAATTAGTGTTTTTATCATTCCAGCCAGTTTACGTGGCCAAAAATAAATTATCAGGAAAACCAAGGGGCGTGAGCATGACAAGCAAAATGTAACGTCTTGATCAACTCAACCAACAACTAAATTTAATGTCTCAATTAACAGAGATCGGCTCAAAGAATCACCTGATGTCATCTGACTTGTCTCGATCGTGGCCTATAGGTAGGAGGCAGTCACCATTTCGTTTTCAATAGTTTTATTGGTATTTAAAAAAAAAAAACAATTGTTTGCCATTAAAGTTATAAAGATTTAATGGTGTGCCTAATGGGCATTTGTAACTAATGTTTAACATTTCTTTCCAAAAAGATTGGTTTGAAAATAGACATACGAAAAAAAAAATAAAAAATCAGAAACTCATTCAGTTTACACTATATTTACGTGAGACCAACTTTGCAAACTTTACAGGAGAATGGGGTTTTGCTATCACCAAAAATTATTTTAAAAACAAAAAAAAAAAAAAGAAAAGAAAAAAAAGAAGAATAGATGGATAGCTGGCTATTGAGATTGTTTTTTTTTTTTTTTTTTTTTTTTCGTGTAGGAGGAGGCTGCCGGAGGATTGTATTTAATTAGGAAATTGTGGTCATGAAAAAGATTTCTGCATCACGGATCGCATCTTGGACTTAATCCAAAATTTGTCTAGTATTACTCAAGTTGATTAACCCAAAATCTCTAACATATCCACTTATTCAACTCTAAAATGGGCATGAGAAGATCGAAGTTGAAAAATCACCAAGTGATCAAGGATTTACGTGAGTTAAACAAACAGTATGCTGACTGACCATTATGAGCAATATTGCAATACTCAAACTAACTCATTATACAATTGTAAAAATATGGTTGACTTGTGATTTATCGTACGTGCGTAATAGTTCTAGGCAAAGTCAGAAGTCAGAACGAAATGCAGCATGCCATAATATTCTTTCCTTAATTTGGTTTGTTATAATTCCTGAGATTTTGTAGACTATTTCCCAATTTCTGCTTACCTTCTTCGGACCAAATTCAGTTTTTCAATATGGCCTTTTTTTTTTTTTTTTTTTGCTTCTTATTGTCTTTATAAGTGAGAAAGAAAAATAAATTGGTATTTCAATTTTTAGTTTAGGAATCAAAAAGGAGGTCGAGGTATAATTTAAGGATCAAAGTAAAAATAGGTGTACAGTTGAAGGGTGCAAATTAGAATATATCAACCCCATATTTTTCTATAAAGTTAAACAGAAATTTTGCACTCTAAAAATGCATTAAAAAGACCCCAAGGCTAAAAGTCATCTTCAGGATTAATTAAAGAAAAAAAAAATAATGCACAGAAACAAGTCGATCGAATTGCTTTTTGTTTTTTCAATACTAAGAACGGTCCTTAGATTTCACTTGGATTATTAATTATCCGTAGGACTTGGTAGATGATAGATGGCTGCTGAAGGAAACTAGTGTCAAATCTTGCATGAAAAGGATTTTTCAATATTACCCGAGTGACTTTTCTCCAGGTGGGGATTCAATTAATTTCTTCATGATATTAGCGATTTCACGAATCAAATGCCTACAGTTTATCCGTCTATATAGCGGGTAATTTTTTGCATTTTACTTTCCTGAATTTCTAGAAAATATCTTAAGGACGAAATTAATTTGCACCATGCTTCCACTATTTCTCTAGTGGATTTCTAACTTCAATTTTTATGGATTTGGGCATGATTTAGTGGTTGAGGCCTGAGAGCCTTTAGCCCTCATCCCTCCCATTGCTGTCAAATGGCCGGGTTGGAAACTGGAACATAATTTATCTGCTCGCATTATAAATAATATTACTTAATTATTTTTTTATTTTACATACGTCACATCAAAAAAGTGTTATAATATTTTCTTTTCAAAAAAATTAAACCAAATAAGGGTGCTAGAGAGATGGGTTGACTTTCTGATTTAATATATATCACACGTTGAAGTTTCGCATTGATATTGCAAAGGATATAACCATTATTTATCAATTAGATACTTGAATACAGGGAAAAAAAAAAAACCAATAATCAAATGTCAACGTTTCCGATCCACAAAGGCTAAATTGTATCGGGTTTGGTGTGTTGGATCACACGTTTACAAGTTGACCATACAAATCTATAGTATATGATTCTTTTGTTTAGAAAATAATTAACCTGCCTATAAACAAGTTTAATAATCACTTCCATCCATAAGGGGTTTCGATTTGAGTGCTTCAAATTCATTACTAACACTAATTAATGACTCGGAGTTTCAACGATCAACTCCAAAGTTAGATTAATTATCTACTTCGTCAGCAATTGCTGCTCTGCCCACATTGTGATGGTTCTAATTGTTTTGTTTTGCTTCTTTTAATTAACCAGTTTTCTAATTAATTTGTGTTATGACTTATGAATGCTTCTTTCGGCCTTATAATTAGTCCTGTTCTACGCGTTATCCCTTTTTGTGCAAAAGAAAATCAAAATAAAATAGAAAAAAAAAGGGTTTTTCTTGTCTTGTAAGTAACTTGTGTTTGCAAATTGGTTTCATATTTTAGAGTTACGAGCAATTTATTAGAATTTCCGAACCACTATAAATAAAATTCCGAGAGTTTTAACAATCCTTTCCATCATTTCTCGCGTTCTTTAATTTCTACCCCCAACAACTAGACATCGGATTTTCATCCCAAAATGACCAGTCGTTCTTATTTCACAATAATAATTTGTATTCCCATAATCACACAAACTAACTGCCCCATATTTTTCACCTCTACAACTGCAGTTTATCCATGTGTTGTGTGCGTGTGTTTCCCACAATTGCCCTAGAGGAGGAGATGACACCAAAAGTCAACGGCATGGGACAGCCTAGCATACTCGTATTTGAAACAAGACAGCGTTTGACTTGTGGAAGACAAAAGCCGCGCCAGTACAGTTCACAATAGAAGAACATTTCCGGCAGTCGTCGGAATTGATTCGACGGTGGCGAAAAAGTTTGACCGGCGGACGGATTGATATATGCGGCCATGGGACTTTTTCTTTTGTTAAATGAGAAAAATTCAACGGTAGTAGCTGTTACGTACTACAACATTACAAGTTGTATTATAAGACCTTAAGTCCTAAACTGCATGCGGTCGGGTAGGGGGACCGATTATTGCGGCTCAAAACCCTCCCTTTGTAATTTTTCCTTCTCTTTTTTTTTTCTTCTCTCTGACATGTTATACCTAAAAGACCTAAACGTTGAAGTTGAATTCTTCCCTTCAACTTGGATTTGTTAAATAAATCTTTTCATTATTTCACCATCAAAATAGTGCAATTGGCACGGCAGTCAATGAATCTATCTATGTATCTATCAGGGCTTTTGCAATTATCATAGTCAAGTTCACCATATGCAGTGTATGTACTAACACAATAATAATAATAGACGTATACAATAAGGCAACATGTTGTTTTTAAATGATGATAATGCTCAAAAATAAAATGAGTGTCAACGAATAATTGAAGGTTGTATTTCAGAATCAATTTCATCCCTCCTAACTCAAAAATTATACGCACTGGATCCATTAATTGTATGGTGCAGTTGTTCTGCCAATTACAAAGAATCCCTTCCCATATAGGTTGAATAATTTATTATTCTTTTCATTCCTTCCTAGATAATTTTGAAGTTAACTACTATTAACGATTGAGCAAATCTTATATATACTGACAGTGCAGATACTATCACTATTGAATTCATGACATATGTGAATTCAAATTTTGCATAGTTGTCATTCATCCAACGCTGACAGTGTATAAGTGTAGGAAAGATTAATCCTTAGAGATTTGATTCCATGTTCAGCGTCCTCTTGTCTTTGCCTTTTTCTGTACTTTTTGAAATTATAATCCTAGAATAATTCAAAATAATTTCCTTCGATTCTTACTGTCCCATTTAAGTCCAACTTGTGGTGGCAAATTCCTTCTAATTTGCCATCTAAAATCATTTGAAAAAGAAAAAAAAAAAGATTCAACAGCTGGGCCATTGACATTTTTGTTTGTGTGTCTGTGCCAGTTAGGTTGAATAATTTAGACGAGTCAAATACTGCAGGCTAGCTCCTCCTCCCTATAAGAATAAGGCCACCGTGTTATCAAAAACATTAATAGTCCATACGACTCTTTGTCGAGAAAAGAGAGAGAGAGAGAGAGAGAGAGAGAGCAAGAGAACAATATGGATATGGAGGCTGCTTATGGAGGTAATTCAGTCAAGAAGGAAGATCAGGAGAAGAAAGCTGAATCAATTGGTGATGAAGATTGTTGTACAGAAGAGGTTCTCCATAAGGTGATTGACTTCATCCTCTTCATTTAGAAACTATATCTTCTCATTCTTAAGGACACCCTAGTTCACAAGAAACATTTCTTGAACTCCATCCCCCTTATGAAACCATCTGCATATGTTTGTAAACATCGAGAATCTTATTTTGCAACGTTCATTACCAAGAATCAGAGCTGAACATAAAAGATAAAGGGTTTATATATATTTTCAAGATGGAATAAGAGACTAGTATTAAATTGAGGTCTAGGATTTTTCTACCTTATTTGGCATCAGATTAGAAAGTGATATTAGTTTTTGGACTTTTTATCTTCAACATAAGGTGCTAAAAAGCTATACACACTTCATGATGTATAATGAATCCAAACCTGGTGCTACTGGCTATTGCAGGTTGGAAATGGAAGAAGAGCTCAGGACGATAAAATAAATCAATCCTCGCCAAATCGAAAGGATTTTACAAGTAGCATACAGGTAAAAACAACTTCTTTTACTCATTCCATGATGGTTATCATTTCGAGCAAAAAGGAAAAGAAAGTATATCATTAATCACAGATAATAACGATACATTACTCTTATCAAGAAAAAAGAGAGTGCAGGATTCTTTTGGATGTCTTTGATCCTTAAAGAAAACTTTCAAATCAGCTATTTTCCTTTTTTTCAATATATATTATGTATTATTTCCCAAAAAAAAGTCTTAAAATTTACGGAAAGTCTCATGCAAGAGAACTTCCACATCTAATTATGGTTCTAGACAGAGGTAACTTTAATTAGAAATTTTATTTTCTACGGTGGATTCTTTAGGAAACAATCGAAATACAGATACTACTCACCTTGTGCATCCATATATAATCGCAAGAGAAAAATGATGATTATGGATCTACTTTTACTTTTAAAGTGTGAAACCTGCAAATGAAGGTTTCCGATAATAAGGCAGGTCCTCAGCCTTGATCTTAAGAAACACGGAAAGGTGTATATTAGTCTGGTCAGGTAGATGTGCAACCCTTTCGCCGCCTTCAAAACCTTTGACCGCTAGTAATGGTTTATATGTCGCCGTTACTGATTTTACTTCTTCAAAATCACTAGGTACGGCTTTTGAAGAAGAATATATTTCTACATAACCGCCAAATCAATCTTGTTCAAGTTTTTTTTTTTTTGCTCAAAAAACAAAAAAAAAAGATTTCCGACATTTTTTAACGTACTATAGTACTCTTGAGTATGATACTGAAAATCTTTTACACAGCATAGGTATCTACATGAAAAACACAAAACCAAAAATGATATAATTAAATAAATACTAGGGAAATTCTACAGTACGTTTTGGGATCATATCAATAATACTAGTGGATGTGTAAAAGGAGATAGCAGTCCTTGAGTGATTTTAGGAGTTTAAATTATTGAATGATGTGGGAATAAACTTTTATTGGATTATAATTATGGGGATGGTATGTAAAAGAATTTTTGTAAAGTGTATATTATCCTTATTATGTTACTAATTAAACCATTATTTTGACAGGGCTCTTTCATGCCTAACATGGAAATGTCATCCTCAGAATTCAACTCAAATGTATCTTCTTCAGCCCTAGCGGGGCGGGTTAGTGCTTCAACTTTCTCTCTATCATTTTCTATTCGGCATCTTATGTCCTCATGTATACTGCTTTTGTATAAAATAACATGATCAATCTAGAACTGCAGTACTAATTTTGCATGTGATTATGTAGGCTGATCTTCTAAAGTCAACAAAAGCTGAAATGGGAGAAGTGATGGAAGAAAATCAAAAGCTGAGAATGCACTTAGATCGAGTGATGAAGGAGTATCGGGCCCTTCAGATGCAGTTCCACGACATGGTTCAGCAAGAACCAAACAAATCTAGTAGTACAATAAGCACTCATCGAGAAACTGGAGAACCAGAGCTAGTCTCCCTAAGTCTGGGAATGAGTTCGAGTGATGGGAAGAAAGACGATTATTTTTCCAGAAAAACCCATGGGAAAGAAAAGGTTGATAACGATGCTGATGATAAAGAAGTGTTGGCTCTTGGATTGGACTGCAAGTTTGAATTGCCAAAATATCAAGAAAATGAGCCTTCACCTACTCCCAGCCTGGAGGCTAGCTCAGGAGAAGTTAAGGAAGAAGAAGGTGGTAAAACATGGCCACCAAAAAATAGCCTCAAGAATGTAAGAAATGAAGAAGATGAGGTTTCCCAACAAACCTCTGTCAAAAGAGCTAGGGTTTCTGTGAGAGTCCGATGTGACACCCCAACGGTAAGTGTAGATCAGAAACTGCATTTTAATATGGATTTGATGAAGGAATGCTCAGTGATATAACAAGTTTTTCTTTCACTTATTGCCAATCCAGATGAACGATGGATGTCAATGGAGGAAATATGGGCAGAAGACTGCAAAAGGAAATCCATGCCCTAGAGCTTATTATCGTTGTACAGTTGCCCCCAACTGCCCAGTAAGAAAGCAGGTAGGAAAGATGTCAAATCTGATGTTGAATTTTTGCAAGTAAACTTTGCATAGTTCTTTAATCTGCTACTATAATCTTGATCATTATCTTTTCTAGTAACTGAGGATTACGACAGTAGATTTAACATGGTTCATAGACAGCATCTTAGATAAGAAATTACTATCGTATCACTATACCCTTGGTTCTTCCAAGTGCCCATTTATTTTTAAAATGTTATTCATTTTCTTTTAAATGTCACAATGAATGTTCGTAATTATGGTAACACTAGCTTGTTTGAAACTTTGGATGGTCTAGAGCACACGGGATCTTCAGTGATATTTTTCCAGTGATAATTCAGTGTCACTTCTATATTTATACTAAGTGTTTTGTTTATTTAATTTGTCATATGCTCTTTATTTAATTTTCTTCTACTATCACGTGATAAGTGGGATTGACATTAGATTTGGTACCGAGTAGTGGCATAGAGAATTCCAACTGGGTCTAGAGATCCTACATGAACAAAAAACGTGTACAACATTTAGACATTGAACTATATATTGCGGAAAATATTCAATCAGAGTGATTCTTAATTAACATTATGACATAAAACTCCCCTAAAATAGAAACTTTTTCAAAATAAAAGAAGTTTTTTAATTAATTTTTTTCATTTAATTATTCACTTCTTTAGTGATGACATTTGATTTTTACTCGAGCAAAAGGTACTGCTTCTGCAAGTTCCGCATTTAATTGAAAAGAAAGTGATTTTTCATTGCCAAATTCTGTAGGTGCAAAGATATGCTGAGGACATGTCCATTTTGACAACCACATATGAAGGAACACACAACCATCCACTTCCCATCTCTGCCACAGCAATGGCTTCCACCACTTCGGCTGCCGCTTCCATGCTAATCTCCGGCTCGACAACCTCCACTTCCGGCCTATCTCCTTCCGTAGCCTCGATTTTGTCCTCCGCTAGCTTCAATGGACTAAACTTTTACCTCTCAGATAATACAAAGCCAACGCCAATTTACCTGCCAAATTCTTCACTCTCATCATCATCTTCATGTCCAACAATCACCCTAGACCTCACTACGAGCTCAAATGCTTCATCCCATCCAAGCAAACTAGGCAGTTTTCCTCCTAGATCATATTCTACAATACAGAATCTCAACTTCAGCTCACTTGAATCCAATGCATTACCTCTCTCATGGAGCAATGGGGTCCTTGGCTATGGAACTCAAGCTCAACCCTACAACAAAAACCAAAATATTGGTTCCCTAAACTTCGGAAGACAGCTTCAAGAAGCCCATTATCAATCTTATTTACAAAAGAACAATTCTATATCGAACTCTTCTACACAGCAATCTCTACCAGCAGAAACCCTTGCTGCTGCAACTAAAGCAATCACGTCAGACCCTAGCTTCCAATCTGCATTAGCAGCTGCTCTCACGTCCATCATTGGCCCCGGTACCAGTAGCACAGCCAGAGTTGTAGGAAGCCAGACTGCAGCAGATGAATCCGGCCATAACTTGAAGCTGATTGATCAGTCATTTCCTATTCTTTCTAGCTTCCCACCATCCACTTCAACTGTCAATAAATGTGCTTCAACCTTTCTCAGTTCTTCCAACCCACCATCTTCAGCGAATTCTCAGCCTGGAAGCTTGATGTTTTTATCACCTTCATTGTCATTCCCTACTCCCAACAACAACTCTACATCCAATGTGAGATTGCATTAATAATAAACTTTGATAGGCATTTGACATTTCAATTGTTAAGATTTTAGACTGCCATAGAAGTTGGTGACTTCAAGCTAAATATTTATTGAAAGGCGTAGCTCTTTCTGTCACCTATAATACTGTATACGTTTCACATAACTTTGTTGTTTAGTTTTTGGTACCTTATAATATTTTTGAAGAGTAGTCATTCAATGGAAATTGTACTTAAATCTTCCAATTTCGCATGTCATCAATTAATTTCGAAGAATCACCAGCTTGTTGCCTAGACTTGTTTATTTTTGCCTTTTTAAAACATAGCAATAATGTTCGAAGTCAAATTGACATCGCTCTGTAGTTAGCTAAATTAAAATAAGCAGATCAAAATATACTCGAGAAATTCGAACTTACTGTTTCTTAATGATAGGGTACAATTTGTTAGTAATTTTATTATTAATTTTCCCTTTTATCCCTGACAAATATTGTGTTAATTGCTGATATTTACTCATATTTGGTATGTGGACGTAATTTCAGGAATAAAGCAGAAAACTACCAAAAGGAGGGACTTTATGGAAAATATGGAGACTTCTAAGGGCTTCAATGCTTGGGTCCTTGAATTTGTGGGGATCACAAGCTAGTGGAAGGCATCTAGTCATTTGGACTCTAAAAAGAAAGCTACGGAAGGAGACTTGGGGCAAGAAGTACTTTGAAGGCTTTGTCCACATGTGTGGGGACCACGTAGAGAACCTTGAGTTATCTTTCTTTTGTGGCTTAAATAGGGATAACGTAGAGTAGCAGAGGGATATCTCTGGTTTGAGTCTTTTAGTGTAGCTTTACTTTTTCCTTCTTTTGACTGGCCTCTGGCACACGCCAGGTGTTCGACAAAATTCCCCAACGGGAAAAACACCTTTTATTCCTTGCTTCTTAATAGAAAACGCTATGCCTTTGCAATCCATTAATTCGTGTGGTGATTTAATTATGCGGCGTGGCTAAATCTTCCATCTAGTCAAGGATCAACTCGACGGCGCAGTCCCGAAAACCTGTGAGATCTAATTAGTTTTCACGCGTTCCTTAATTTATTAATAATTGCACGTTGCCTGCTTGTATTTTCATGGGATTATTTTATTAATTGGATGTCAAGGGCCCGATGTTCAATGTGATTTATTAGTCTCGTGCCAATTTAGTCAATTAAATCCGTAATTGTTTGATTGATTAATATTAGTGGCAACTGGTGTGTTTACACATTAGGGGAACGTGCAATCTAATTTAAATAACCCTCGTAGCGTGTTATTGGTTAGGGCTAGGTTTTTCTAATATTAATGCAATTGGGAAATTAATTCCTACGGTCGTACCTAGGAGTATTTTCTGGTTAGGGGTGATCAATGGTCGTACCTTGGTTATCAATAATTTAAGGAAAAATTGGTCGTCAGACTATAACTAACCTATTAATAAATTAAGTGAACCTCTCCTGCATCAATGATCGGATAAATGGACTGTGCCTGAGTAGTTGTATCCTTGGCTAGAACTTATTTATTCTTGATTTAATTCCTGCTTTACTTGTGCTAGTGATTTATTTATTTTTAATTAAATTGTTTAATTATTTTTAGTTCCATTCCGGTGAAATCCCCCCTTATCAATTGGACTTTAAAAAGAGACAGATATCCCCAGTCCCTGAGGAGACGACTTTACTTGCCACTGCCTACTATTTTTGCCAACTAATTAATTCTGGTATATCGGGTTCAGCAAACTCTTCGGGAACAGGGTGAATCAAGTAACCCATTGCACACCTAGAGTCCCTGCTCCAGTACCTAGGATTAATTATTGACAGCTCTTAGTGGTATCTAGGTTCTATATTATTATTATTATTATTGCACAGGTTGACGACCTGTCAATTTTTGGCGCCGTTGCCGGGGACTGGTGTCAGATTAATTTGTTTCTTTTTGAGTTCACCTTGTTTTTATTTTTATTTATTTTTTCTCTTATTTTTTTTTTATATATATAGCTCATGGCTTCTAACACTTCGTATTTTTGTGATATAATGGATTTTGTTTCCGGGGAAAGTGATGAAACTAGTTTTTTTGCTAAGTTTGCATATGCAGAGGCACTAAACTCTATTAGAGAAAGAATGGCTGCTGCAACCTGTAAAATTTGTTATGCCAGGGATCATTCAACCGGTATGTGCCCCGAATATCAAGATAATCTGAGTGTCCCACTCAATAATTATGGAGATTTTTCACCCTGGTTTCAAACGTGGTATAACCCTAATCCAAACGGCTATGATCAAGGATGGTGGGATAACTCCAGTTATAATTATACAACAGGGCCAATGAATTTTCAGCAGTATGAGTCTCAAGAATCATCATCTATGTCAGGTATGTCTCTTGAAGAAATAGTTGAATCATTAGCTACTAATACATACCAATTCCAACAGGAGACACAAATGAGGAATGAGATGATGAAGGATGCAATGAGTAATCTGGAAGATCAAATGTGTCTATTGACATCCAGAATAAGTCGATTGGCTTCTCAAATTGAAGAATTGCCCTCGGAAACCGTTGTTGATCTAGAAGAATACGAGAGTGCAATTTGCTTGACTAGTGATGAGGAGATGCAAGAGTGTCAAAATGAGAAATCTGCAGATGCAGTTGAAAAAGAAGCCAAAAATGAAGAAATGGAACCCCAACCGCAACCCATTCAAGTGAATGAATCCAGTGAACAATCTCCAAATGCGGTGATATCTTCTCCACTCCTTAATCAATATTTTCCTGACTCCTATTCTTCAATTCCTGTTATTGAAATTGATTTTATTATACCAGAAAATTTGAAATTTCATGACAAGAATAAGTTAAGAGTGGCAATGAAAAAATATCTTGCACCGAAGAATGCATGTGATGGAGGAGTGAATGGAGAATGCAAATTATCGTTGACTTGTTTAGCACCATTTATTAGTCCATGGAAGCCCGTAGCTCGTGTGCTCAAAGATTACTCCATCTATGAGGGTTACCAGGATCATATTGAAGATAAAGCATTGAAGCGAGCCACAAGATTTTATCCTCCATGAACAAGACATAACAGTGTCTAGCCAAAGACATTAAAGAAAGGCGCTTTTTGGGAGGCAACCCAAATATTGGTTTTATTATTAGTTGTTCAATTCTTTCGTTCTGTTGTTTCTCATTTGGATAGTAGTTGGTCTTGATATTTTTCTCCACTGTGATCAGGAAGTGAAATTTTGGCGTGCCCACGCGGTGTTTAGGTCTCCTGAGATCAGAGGACGAACACCAATCTTGGCGTGCCCACGCGGTGTTTGGGTCTCCTGAGGTCAGTGGATGTTTTGTAATCTTGGCATGCCCACGCGGTGTTTGACGACCCAAAACATGAAAAAAAAAAAAAAGTTTCAAAATTTCACATTGAGAAAATTCAAAAATTCAAAAGGCATTTTTCTTTCTCTTCAAAAATTCAAATTTTGGAATTTCAAATTTCAGGAAAAAATTTGAAAAAAAAAACATTGAGAAAAAAAAACCCCAAAAAGAAAAAAATTAAGATTCCAAAAAAAAAAACAAAACAAAACAAAACTATTTTTTTTTCTCTTTTCTTTTTCTCTCTTTTTCTTTTTTTCTCTTTTCTTTTTCTTTCTTTCTTTCTTTCTTTCCTTCTCTTCTTTCCTTCTCTTCTTTCCTTCTCTTCTTCCCCGCTGCCCTGCTTTCCTTTTCTTTTATTTCTTCTTTCGGCTGCCCTCCATCCTCCGCACACCACCGAGCACGACAGCCCACACAGCGGCGAGCTCACTCCGCGCGTCTCCGCCACCACCACGCGAGCACCACCAGCTTGCCACCCTCTCGACCACCTCCAAGCTCCAAGTTTCCTGTCCTTTTGTGCGCTCAGCTGCTGACTAGCCGCCATCCACCACCGGCTACCCACTTGCTGCACGCCGCTGACCAGCTGCCATCGCCGCCGCCTCCGTTCCAAGCTTCATCCCCGCCACCTCCACTCACCAGCGCCTTTGACCACCGCCTGCCCACGCTCCACAGCCGCGGCCACCACCGCGCGCCACCTCCCTCTGCTCTCTCTCCACCTCGTCACCAGCTCACGGCCAACAGCTCCTCCGCTGCTCCACTGCTCCACCACCCATGGCCATCTGCTTGGTGTCTCTGGTATGAGGCGGAGGTACTTGTTTTTCCCAAATTATTGGCCAACTTTCTAAGGTACATTACTTATATTTGGAGTCCTATTTCTGGAATAGATTTCTAGATTGAATTGGGCACAGACTTTGGGTTCTATGTTGAATTTTGGTTTTCGGGCCCTGCTAAATTATTTTGCTGAATTCTTGATGCCCTATGACCGTTGATTTAAGTAGCTAAGGTATTCGGGCCTCTACTGAATTGTAGTTGGCAGAGTTGTGCATTTATTTGTTCAATCCAACAACTATAATACTTAGTGCATTGATTGTTGATTTAATGGCCATAGTTACTATCCCAATTCATTTGGTTGGTTGAGTTGTGCAATTGACTGTCCAATTGGAGACAGTTGTTGAGATTTTGGGTGGAATTCAATTTATTTGCTACCCCATTTGGGGGTGCTCTCTGGTATTGATTATATTGTTGAATATTATTTGGGCTTTGACTATTTGAGATTTCTATTGCATCTGGGGGATAAAATTGGATGACTTTTGTGCCAGTTTATTTGTTTGGAAATTGTTGGGGGTAATTTGGGAGTTACTTGTCAATTGGGTCCCGTGTTACTCTCTGCCATTCAGTGGTACTGAGTGGTGTGTTTGGCGTTATCACATGTCTTGGGTTGGCCATTTGATTTCAATTTTCCTTATGCATGCACCAGTGGTACTGGTGAGGGTAGTTTACATAATATTTGTTACTCCTGTGTTATTGGTTGCCTAATCGACTACTGGGCATTTGTGGTTGAGTTGTTTCTGTCCAACTTCTGAACTGTTGTTGCTGGAGTTGCCATTTTCTTGGGTCAATTGCTAATTTTAGCAGGTTGAAGTGGGTAATTGACTGTCCAATTGGAGACAGTTGTTACGATATTGGGTCCGATTGTGTCTAATTGCTGAAAGTTGTTGATTTATTAAGACACTAGCACAGTTCCTAGTTTGTTCGAGTTGCTGTTCTGTTGCATTATTGGGAGCTGTGCTCTAGTATTGTGGCCACTTTTCTGCGTTTATTTGTTGAATTGGGGCATGAATGTGCAGTTTGCATTTGCTTGTTGAAGTCGGTTGCCTTTAATTGACTTACTTGGGGTATTTGGAGCAGTTGTTGCACTTTGGACGACCTTAATTCTGAATTTGACTACATGGGGTCCATAAGTACTTATTGATTGCATTTGCTATAAGTGTTGGGGTATTTGTATGACCTCTGGGTGGTTGAATTGTGCATTTTATTCGTTGGGTTGGCTTTTCAATTCTTATTGCTTTGAATTTCCTGTTTCTATTATTTGTTGGCCATTGTTGTCTCTTGTCAAGTGGAGTGATCTTTAGAACCAATGGTGAGGCCATGGTCATCTTCTAGGTCTAGGACACCTAGAACCTCACATGGCGCAGAATTTGGCAGCATCTATGCACCATGCAGGTCCTGCTCCTCAGTTCCTGCCCGATCCGCCCCTATTTTGACGACTTTCAGGGAAGTTCCGTTGCCTTTCGCCTTGCTATTACTATTTATTTATCACATTGAGGGCAATGTGTGAATTAGGTGTGGGGGGGATCGTTGTGGTGCTAGTATTTTTATTTTAAGTTTCTAAGGGCTTTTCCTTTATTTTTAGTTTGATATTTATCTTTTTTTCGTTTATTTTCTTTTCTTCTTTTCTTCTAGTGGTCAGTCTTCATATGAATACCAAGTTTTGATGCTGGATTGTTGTCTCTAATTCTGTTATTGCCAAGTTTATTAATAAAAAGGTATCAAGTTGATGTGGTTGAGTTCAAGAACATCTCTCTGGTGAATATCAGTA